TTGTATGAGAGCCTAAGCTGGCAAATTTGCTTTGAGTTAGGTAAGCTTCCCATAGAACGTGCATTGGAGCGCATCAGTTCCAGTGGAGGCCCCAATCATCTCAGAAACGTGACCTTCTTCGTACATGTGTCAACATAGACGTTATAATTAAGAACCGCGTTGCAGTAATTAGCGGCGATAAATCATGGAGTCCCAAATTTAATTCTGGACCTGGAAGGTCCAAAAGTGGTATGCATTTAAAAAGTAAGTAACAACTCCCTTGAATTGGCGAATGCAGTGCACGCTTCCCTATTGCGCATGGGTTCGTGCCTGCCTTTGTCATTTATTGCCCACGCAAAATTAAAAAACATGAAAAACGAATACTTATATTATAAAAAATAAATATTATATAGTTTAAATTTTATATATTCTTAGTAGATTATAATTTTGAGAGAGAGAATTTAAATTTAAATTTTAAAATTATAGTATATTTTATAATGAAATATATAATTATTAGATCATAAAATTTAAGTATTAGTTTAAATCATATTTAATAAAAAACTGTTGTGTATAGTATTAGATTGAATAATATAAATTATTTTGTAAAAGAATTATTTATGATTAAAATATTTTTTATTTAATATTTTTTATTTTTATAATTTGATGTTATCTAAATTATAAAATAAAAAATCTATAAGAAAATGCTAAGGAGGACTGACCCCTAGCAAGCCGACGGAGCCTAGTTTACGTAACACTAATGGATTTTTTTTCCTTTTTCTGAGTTAAGTTTATTATTTACTTTTTATTTTTAACAATTTAAATTTATTTTCGTTTTCTTATTTTTTTAGAGTTAAATCAATTTAAACTCATGTCATTAAAATTTAAAATTTTTAGAATTAAGTATTTAAGATATTAAGGTTTAAAATTTTAAATTTAATATTAAAAATTATAGGAATTTAAAATAAAAATATTATATTTAAAAAGTAAAAAAAAAAAAGAAGAAGGAATAAGACCAATAGGTCTTTATGCATTACTCAAACTATTAAATTATATAGCTTTTTTTATTGATTAAATTATATAATTTAAATCATTAACTAAAACGATCTTTTAATATTGAAAAACTATCAATATATAATGATTCTCAAAAATTATTATTATTAATTTTTAATAGGTTTAATTTAATTTTTTAATTTTTTAAATATAAATTTTAAATAATAATGTAACATATAAGAAAACTCAAATTTATATTATTTACATTATTAAAATGTAACATATTAGATTTAATTTATTTTCAATTTATTATTTATTATTAATTTTTTATCTAAAATCTATATTTACAAAATTAAAAAATTAAATTAAGATACAAATTTAAAAAACTCAAATTAAAAACCATCTTTATCTAATGCAGTAATTTTCATTTTGCAGGTATTATGAATTCAAAGACAAGCAACCACCTTACGGTTACAACTTTTCAGAAGTCCAGATCACCGCATCTAATCCCCCGGTCTTGATTAATTAAGCCTGTCGGCACAAGATCGATTCGTCACTTTTTCTAGTTTCTGTCTTTAGAAAGCGACTTGCAGTTATCAACTATCATCTCTCTCTCCTCCCAAGCAAGAGATACTAAGGTTGAGTTTTTCGCAAATGATGATTGGATTTGTGTAATAAAAAATAAAAGATGATTGGATTTGTGTAACCAAATCGAAAGAAAAAGAAGAAAAGAAAAAAAAAAAAGAAAAAAAAGAAAGCGACCTGCAGTTCTGCACCATTTCCTGTAATTATTGCTTTAGTCAAAACCAAAACTTACTAAAATTCCCAATACGCCGTCGTTTTCCTTCGTTAGTTCCCAAAGTGGCGCCGTTTAATGCAATCCGGGTGTCATTATAAGATAGTACCACGCTAGATTATGAGACAATATATATTTTTTTTCGCTTATGTGAGATTCCTAATTGTCCGTTCACTCCCCACTTTTCACTACCGCCGCTTTACTCTCCCCTCATCAATGGCGGCTTTTTTCTCCGGTTTTCTTTCTCTACTGTTCGTTTTATGCGTTTCCTGTGGTTTTCTACGGGCGGTTTCCGGTGATCAGACGGTCAAGACTTTCATTTTCCGTGTGGAAGCCGAATCAAAGCCGTCCATTTTCCCAACTCACTACCACTGGTACTCTTCCGAGTTCACCGAGTCGAGCCGAATCCTCCACGTTTACGACACCGTTTTCCACGGTTTCTCCGCCTCGGTATCCGCAAGCGACGCCGCTGTCTTAAGTAAGCACCCATCGGTTCTCGCCGTTTTTGAGGACAAGCGCCGGGAACTCCACACCACTCGTTCTCCTCAGTTCCTTGGATTACGGAACCAGCGAGGGCTCTGGTCTGAGTCTGACTACGGATCGGATGTTATAATTGGAGTTTTTGACACCGGAATCTGGCCGGAAAGGCGGAGCTTCTCTGACTTGCACCTAGGTCCGGTGCCGGCCCGGTGGAAAGGAGTTTGCCAAACCGGCGTTAGATTCAGTGCGAAGAACTGTAACCGGAAATTAGTGGGTGCAAGGTTTTTCTCCAAGGGCCTTGAAGCAGCAGCGAGATCGGCGGGTCCTGTTGGTGGAATCAACCAAACGGTTGAGTTCATGTCACCGCGGGATGCGGATGGTCATGGTACTCACACGGCTTCAACCGCCGCCGGAAGGCACTCATTTCGGGCTAGCATGGAAGGATACGCCTCGGGGGTTGCTAAAGGAGTGGCACCGAAGGCGCGGCTTGCGGTTTACAAGGTTTGCTGGAAAAATTCAGGTTGTTTTGATTCCGATATTTTAGCTGCTTTTGATGCCGCAGTTAATGACGGAGTCAATATTATCTCGATTTCGATTGGAGGTGGCGATGGTGTTGCATCGCCGTATTATCTCGACCCAATTGCAATTGGAGCATACGGCGCGGCTTCAAGAGGGGTCTTTGTGTCCTCTTCTGCTGGGAATGGTGGACCTGATGGCATGACTGTCACGAATGTTGCTCCATGGCTGGTTACTGTTGGAGCCGGGACAATTGACCGGAGTTTCCCTGCGGATGTGATTCTCGGAAACGGCAAGAGGCTAAAGGGCGTGTCGCTGTACTCTGGTGCTCCGTTGAAGCACAAGATGTATCCTCTGGTTTACCCTGGTAAGTCAGGGGAGCTCTCTGCTTCATTGTGTATGGAAAACTCACTTAATCCTAACCATGTGAAGGGGAAGATCGTGATTTGCGATCGGGGAAGTAATCCGAGAGTGGCTAAAGGTTTGGTGGTGAAGAAAGCCGGAGGTATTGGAATGATTCTTGCCAACGGAGCTATGAACGGCGAAGGGCTGGTCGGAGATGCCCACCTTCTTCCTGCTCTTTCTGTTGGGTCAGACGAAGGGGACGCTGTAAAGACTTATGTGTCATCGACCTCGAATCCAACGGCCACCATTGATTTCAAGGGTACTTTGCTCGGAATCAAACCTGCTCCCGTAGTGGCTTCGTTTTCGGGGAGAGGACCTAGTGGGTTGAACCCAGAAATTCTGAAACCGGACCTGATTGCTCCCGGAGTCGACATTCTCGCCGCTTGGACTGATGCGGTTGGACCTACTGGATTGGACTCTGATTCCCGCAAAACAGAGTTCAACATTCTTTCAGGAACCTCAATGGCTTGCCCCCACGTGAGCGGTGCGGCGGCGCTGCTGAAATCCGCCCACCCTAGTTGGAGCCCGGCTGCCATTCGCTCCGCCATGATGACCACCGCAAGGATTATTGATAACAGGAATCTGCCGATGATTGACGAAGCAAGTGGGAAGCCATCAACGCCGTACGATTTCGGTGCTGGCCATGTCAATCTCGATCAGGCAATGGATCCGGGTCTCATCTATGACATCACCAACAATGATTACATCAACTTTTTATGCGCCATTGGCTACGGACCAAAGGTAATTCAGGTGATCACGCGAACACCGGTGAATTGTCCAGCGAAGAAGCCATTGCCGGAGAGTCTGAACTACCCTTCAATCGCTGTATTATTCCCAACCTCCTCCAAGGGGCCCAAAAGCAAGACGTTCATCCGAACCGTGACCAATGTGGGTCAGGCTAATGCAGTTTACAGGCCGAAAATCGAGTCACCGAAAGGGGTGACCGTGACGGTGAAGCCGGCTCACCTAGCGTTCACGGAGGCAGTGAAGAAGCTGAGCTACGTAGTGACTGTAACCGCCGACCCCAAGAACCAAGTGCTGGGTGATTCCGGTGCTGTTTTCGGGTCCCTTACTTGGACTGACGGGAAGCATGTGGTTCGAAGCCCCATCTTGGTAACCAAATTCATTCCTTTCTAGATTGGATTTTCACAATCACTGATTAACTGTATGAAACGACGCAGTTTCATAGAAGTGTGCAAGACTCTGAAGGTAGTATAATTTTAGAACGACGACCTGTTGTAGCTTTTTTGAGTGTATGCGTTTCCACTCTTTTGGCAGAAGTTTTTATTTTTATTTTTTATTTTCTATTTTCGAATTCTGTTTTATAAGCTCCTGTATTTATAAACTTTGAGGGAAGTTTATATGGAGTAATACTTTTTTGCTTTTAAAAAATATATGTAATTGGTATTTCCCATAACTGATTTAACGGTAAACCCACATTAGTTCATGGAAAAACGAAGTTAGTTGGTACTTTTGAGGAGATATAATCATAATATAATGTTAGAATATTTCATTTCATGTGGTTGAATCCCAACCATTTCAAAATGGTATGAATTTTTTTATACGTCCAATACATCGGTTCACGTTCATGGGATTGTCTTTCTCAAAACTACCCCTTTATTATAAATATAAGAAGAAAACACTACTAGCAGAAACTGAATCTTTGAATTTGTCCTTTTTTATTTTATTTTATTTTTTAAAAATTATGCATTATCCCTATTTTTTTCATTGAGATTCTTAATTCTTATTCAAAGAAGGGAGAAAGGAGGGAAAAAGAAAATACAGGAGCAATTGCTCTTTAGCTGATACTTTTCTTTTTGGCCAAAGTTTTGCTCTTTTGTTGATTGGCTCTGGTTTTTCGTTTGGTTTTCATTCATGAATGCAGGCAGGGCCACGGATGGCTAAAATTGATAAAGATAGTTCATATTAGACCCCTCCAGAATGTCAATAACATTTGCTTTTAAGCCTAATCAACGTCACGTTGCCAGGCATAAGAACTAAGAAGTAAGCAAAGTTAAAATTATAGTGGAGAGAGGAGGACTCTTGCCCCATCTGCTTAAATTTCCTGGTATGATCCTCATCTTCTTATTATGGATGCTGACATTTCATGCCCAAAAAAGGAAGAAAATTGGTGGATCCTGATGTAGCCAGTTAGTACTAATTGGCTGAAATTAGTAACCAAGAGCTTGATTGCAAAATCTAAGGAAGTGGAATTAAGTACAGTACCGTGTAAAGTGACTAGAGGAAGGAGACCAATTGAGTTGGGAACATTGGTAATAGTAAGATTCTTGTTTTTGACAAGATCCCACCTAATGAACCAACTAAAAGCACATTTAATGAATTTATATTCCCTGTAAGCTGCCATTACAAAACAGAAAAGTTTTGGTTCTAGTGAGTGAGTGCACATCTGATGTGGAAGCTAATTTAATTCCAAGTAAATAAGATACTCTATTCAAATGCAACCGAGAGAGAGAGAGAGAGAGAGCAACATTTCATTAGTCATCCTTGTTCTAAACTAAACATTTTTAGAACAGCAACTCAACTATGTCATTTGTGACAAGGTTGCAAGTTTGAAAATTGTACCAACAGATCCCTCCTTTGCAAGGCTTATGGCTTACTTGGCAGGAATTTGAGTGGAAGTATAGCTACTAAGTCAATGACAAAAGCAACTGATCCAATAATCAAAGTGAAACTGGCAGAAAGGATGAGAAGAGTAAGGGTTTAGAATCTTCCTTCAAGAATGGAAATGAACTCACCAAGTTGAAGAGAATTCACGAACAATATAGATATGAAGCCCAGATGAAGTTCCAGTTAGATGCAAGATAATCCGATGCCCTCATATTTCAAAACCTAGCAAAGACAGTAAGTAGCACAAGTATTAGCAGAAAGATGATAGTGTATAT